GGTCGATTGCTGTTTAGTTTCCGGCTCATACGCATATATTCATGATTCATCACCTATCACGATTTTATAATCACCTTTTGAAGCACCACGGTCGAACTTTTTAAGGATTTCCTTAGTCCAATCGACGCGAGCCTTGTTTTGAGCGATTGATAAGTTATAGTTTATCCAACGAGAACAAACCTTTCTTAAAACTAAGTGTTCATGGAAAATGGAATGTATTGAAGTGGAATTAATTTGCAAGAATGCCTCTATCTCACGATATGTCACATGACGATCTTGCACTATCAGTTCACGCACACCATCGATGTTTTGTGGCACAACAACTGATTTTAGACGACCTTCACGGGACTCGTCAACGACTGAACTACGACCACGATTCAATTCTGCTAACCAGCGATAATCTGTCTTTTTTGATGAGGATTTCTCGCCATACAAAGAACTAAGTTCATCAACATATTCTTGTAATCCACGTCGAAAGTTGTGAAAAATAATCCAACGAAAACCATCTTGAATATTTTAAATTTTTTTGCCAAATAAATTTTTTTAACTGATTGTAAACAAAGCAAAAAACAATTGTATGTACATATGTATGTTCTAAAAAATGACAAAGTTTATTGTGGCTTTGCCAGACTACGCATTGGCATTAGTATTGCCAATTCCCGAAATATAATTAGCAACCTACGTATGGGCCAAGGGGGGGGGGCCACAAAATATTAATTCATTTATAATTTTGAAACAAAAATTTTATAATTACGTTCGTTTGTGCTCTTTTGTAGTGACCACACTTAATTTGGTTCTGCGCTCGCTTATTTTCCGTTTAATTTGTACAACCAGCCGGTGTTTCGACAAAAAAATGTATTTATTAACTCCCTATTCAGCTTTAAAATCTAAAAAGTCAGCTGGTTTGGGTCATATCTTGAGCGGCATGTCGTGTTGGAAAGCCTTCGGACCCATTCTTGACTACTTCCGGCCTTCCACAGGGAAGTGCACTTGGTCCACTTCTGTTCTCAATTTTTATCAACGACATATCTCTCAGCATTCAAGATTCTGAGATTCTGCTTAAAGCTGATGATCTTAAAATCTTCCGATCGATCAAAACCTTAGGAGACAGTATCCTTCTTCAGCGCAACCTGGATAGAGTTGGTTGCCGACTTAATTCGCTCCCTCTCTTCTTTGGACGTTGACATGCAATGACTGCATCTATCAAGAGGCGATGCAATTACTGCACCGTCAAGTGGCCCGTGTGACACCAGCAGAAGGCTGTTACGCGCGGATCCCAGGCAAAACGCAGCCCTCCTCCCGCCCAACCGACCGAGGGGCGCTGCCGCATGACGCGCGGTGCGTAGCCGAACCAAACGCGAGCATGCAGGAAAGATAGATATTAGACTAACATTCGAGGAAAATTAGCACTAAACTTATTAAGAAATTAAGCATGCAATATAATACAAAATACAAGTACCACTACAATTACTAATTACTAGAAAGGTGTGTAAGGATTAGTAATTTAATAAGAGGAAGAGAATTAGTGGAGGATATAATATGGTAGAGGGAATTATAATCCGAGCATAAGACCCTAAACGGTTCATGCAAGGAATAATTCGATCTACAAAGTGGAAGGAACAACGGTATAAAGTTTCTAGTCAGTCTAATAGGTATCGTGAAGTTTATGCGGCTCAACAGATCAGGGCTGTCTATGTCACCCCTGATCAAGTTGTGCATAAATATCACACCAAGCATTTTTCTACGGTTAACTAAGGATGGGAGGTTTACTAATAATAGTCTACTAGAGTAAGATGGGAGTCTTACACCCGCATCCCAGTTAAGGCCCCGCAGAGCAAAGAGTAAAAAGTTTTTCTGTACTGATTCTATACGGTCCTGGTGTACTTTGTACTGAGGGCACCATACACAGGAGCCGTATTCTAAGATCGGACGAACAAGCGAGGTATAGAGAGTCTTTGTTATATAGGGGTCGTCAAATTCCTTTGACCACCTCTTTATAAACCCAAGCACGCCCATGGCCTTATTTACCATGGTAGAAATGTGTTCGGAAAACTTTAACTTGGGATCTAACATAACACCCAGATCATCCACCAGGGTAATTCTCTCAAGAGAACCCCCAAATAGGGTGTAGGGAGCCAACAAAGGGTTAGAACGATGAAATGTCATAACTTTGCATTTCGAGGCATTAAGGTGTAACAAGTTTGCACAACACCATGACTGAAAGCTATTGAGATCGGATTGCAAGCGAGAATGAAATGAAATGTCCTTGTACTGGACACAGAGTTTAACATCATCCGCATACATAAGTACTCGAGAGTATGTTATTACTGAAGGCAAGTCATTAATAAAGAGTGTGAAGAGTAAGGGGCCTAGATGGCTGCCCTGTGGTACTCCCGAAGAAACCTTTACTGGTAAAGAGAGGGAGTTTTTGAAGAGGACTCTTTGAGACCTGGAGCAAAGATAGCTAGAAATCCATCTCAGGAGGTTGGGCGGAAACCCTAAAAGGTCAAGTTTATGTGCTAAAAGGGAATGGTTTACAGAGTCGAATGCTTTACTAAAGTCGGTGTAAATAACATCCGTCTGTAAGTTACCTTGAAAGCCTTTAATAATGAAAGAGGTAAACTCTAACAAGTTCGTGGTGGTTGATCGCCGCCTTATAAATCCATGCTGAGTTGGAGATATAAGTGACTTGCAGAGATGTTGCAAGTGCGGAGCTAAAACCTTCTCAAACAATTTGGGAATAGCGGATAACTTTGCTATACCTCTATAATTTTTTGCATCAGACTTACTACCTTTTTTATGGAGAGGAATTATAAACGATTCCTTCCAGATTGGGGGGAAGCAAGATGAATCAATGGACATGGTGAATAGTTTAAGCAATGGTCCACACAGAGCCTCGGCGCAGTACCTGAGTACACAACCTGGAACCCCGTCTGGACCCGGTGAAAACACCGGCTTAACTAGTCGAAGATCTTGAAGTAGGGAATACTCATTTAACAAGGGACTGAAAATGCCGTTCGACCTCGGTAATCCGTATGGGTACGGTTGACCAGAGTAGCGTTCCTCAGAATAGGTAGTTTGGAAAAACTGGGCAAAAAGATCGGCAATTGCCTGATCATTATTTGCCGACGTATTACAAAATGATAGCGAGGATGGGTGTGCGGACGTTCTACGCGTACTGTTTACGAAGCAGTAAAACTGTTTAGGGTCCTGAGAAAAACGTATCCTGCAACGAGATAGGTAGTTCTTATAGCATTGAGCATTAAGAACTGAAAAGTTTGACCGAGCTATTACATAACGAGAGTGAGAAGTAGGAGAACCCACTTCTTGAAATTTTTTATAAAGTCTTGATTTTAAGTTTTTTAGACTGGATAACTCTTTGGTAAACCAAGGGGGTTTTCCAGATCTAGTCGGACAAGAAAGCGGGACACAAGAATCAAAAAATGTGCCAAGAGCATTGTAAAAAATGTTTGTGGCTTTTGTGACATCAGTGCACAAGTACAAAGCGGACCAATCAAAATCCCTAATTAGGTTATTAAGCTTCGCAAACTCGGCTTTACGAAAGCAGCGGACACGTTCAGGTAGTCTACTCGACCGATCCAATACAGTTGGTCCTATGTCTAGCGACACCTCGAAAGTAGGGTGGTAGGCGTCTTCAGGTATAGTGAGCGGAAGGGCTCGGGTTAACAACACTATGGTCGGATCCGATACAAAGCATAGATCAAGCAATCGACCCAAGGAATTTTTCACATGATTGACTTGAGACAGGGACAGGTCAAGCAAGCCGTCAACAAAGTCATGTCGTGACATGGGCACTAGGATACTAGACTCGTTTACCGAAGACCAAACAGTTCCTGGCAAGTTGAAGTCACCAAGAACTATCATACGATCTTTATCAGATAGCGAGGAAGCAACAGCGGTTAAAGCGGACAAGTGCTGCTCATAAATTGAAATATCCGAAGAAGGTGGGATATACGAGCAAGTAATGAATATAGCGAAAGCGGGAAGAATCAGTTTTACACACAGGAATTCCAGTTCCTGTTGAACTTGGACTGTGAAGTGTTCTGACGTGAAGTAAGAGTCCACTGCAATTAGAACCCCTCCTGCACGTCGAGACGAACGGTCCTTTCTAAAAGTTGTGTACCGACCTGCCAAAACCTCGGAACTAAGAATGTCCGGCTTTAACCAGGTTTCAGTAAACACAATAACGTGGGAAGCAAATGCAACACTATCCCGGAAAAGAATGCTGAGCTTACTACGCAAGCCTCTTACATTCTGATAGGTTACTAAAAGAGAAGTTAGTTTTTTGGAAAGGTTGGAGCAAGACGGGAAGTTGAGGAAGAGGAAGTTGAGGTTGAGGGTGGCACGCTGGAAAGATTTGGAAGCGATATGGGGGGCCTCAACGTTAGCAAATGCTGCTTTGTTTCCTTTAGCAAGTGTATCTTCAATGTGCTGGCCTCTTACTCTATAGATGGCAATCCTCTCTTAAAGCAGACGGAGATACTTGATCTGGGGGTCTTGTTCGACTCAAGATTTCTTTTTGCTGAGAATCTGAATTTTATATTGCCAAAAGCCTATACCATGTTTGGCTTCGTTAAGCGCAATTCATCCCAGTTCAGGGACCCATATACGATGCTGAGTTTGTACTCATTACTTGTGCGCTCGCGCCTTGAGTACGCTTCCATGGTTTGGCATTCCACTGGGGTCGTTCAAACTTCACGCATCGAAAGACTGCAACGGAAGTTTCTCAAATTTGCACTCCAGCCTCTGTCCTTCTCCATTCCGCTGCCGTCTTATGAGTGCAGATGTAGCCTCGTGCATCTCTCGAGGATCAAAGGACCATTGCGGCTCAGGTATTTATGACATTCACAATTATGAATATGACAATTATGACATTATGAATATACACAAAGAAAATTTCCCTCTTTCGAGGGTCACAAAACAGGCTTAAATTTGCGGTCAGGCCTCCTCTCTCCCGCCTGAGGTTTGATTGGCTGGATTTACTTGGTCAGCTTTTTAATAGTTTTAATCAGATTGTGCTCATCGGCGCCTCTGAAGCGGGCAAGGCGCGTCGTGCCCCGTAGGAAGATAAATGTGGGCATGCTCTTGATCTTGTATTGATCCACCAGATCTAAGAATTTGTCCACATTACTCTTGATGACCATCGCCTTTGTGGAGTACTTGCGGGCCATGGACTTGACGCTTTTGTCCATGTCTTTGCAGGGCCCGTACCAGGTGGCGTAAAGGTCCAAGACCACCACCTTACCCTCGGCTGCATCCATTTTCTTATGAAAGTCGTTCATGCTACGGATGCAAGCCATTTTCGTTTTTTATGTGCTCATGATGAATTAACAAAAACTATGTGTACAAAGAACTTTTCAGTCTCAAGATTTTGCTCAAACGGGGATGCGTTGGCTCGACGTTAATTTTTTGGGAATTAATTTGCGGTTGAAAAATACGTATGAAGTTGACGATTCGATTTTTAAATAGTTAACACGATGTTTTCACCGGGCTCTGGCGGAATTCCCGGCTGTGTACTCAAAAAATACCAAAAGAAAGGTAGCAAATCTGATGCAAAGAACAATAAATGTCTTTCTAAGTAATTTGTTATTCCTAAATTTTTTTGAGGAGGTTTTAACTTCGCACCTGCAACATGTCTGCAAGTCACCTATATCTCCGACTCAGCATGGATTTATAAGGAGGCGATCAACCACCACGAACTTTTTAGAGTTTACATCTTCCATCATTAAAGGCTTTCACGATAACTTACAGACGGATGTTATTTACATCGACTTTAGTAAAGCATCCGACTCTGTAAACCATTCCCTTTTAGCACATAAACTTGGCCTTTTAGAGCTTCCGACTAACATCCTGAGATGGATTTCTAGCTATCTTTGTTCCAGGTCTCAAAGAGTCCTCTTCAAAAACTCCCTCTTATCACCAGTCAAGGTTTCTTAGGCATTACCGCAGGGCCACCATCTAGGCGCCCTACTCTCCACACTCTTTATTAATGCATTGCCTTCGCTATTAGCATATTGGAATATATAGTATGTCTATTAATTGTTTGCAAATTGAAAAAAGTCACGCAAGTTCAACTTAAACTTAATTATTTATTAGAAAAGGCACTTGTTTTCATGTTCAGTCCTATACAATGATTTTCTTTAGTGTATTCTTAACAAAATAGGTAACAAAAGAAAATGAAAAAGAAACAAAAACAAAAACATAAACAATTCATAAAAACAAAACAAAAACAGCAAATATCGTGTGTCTATTACATCTTTGCAAAATGAAAACAGTAATTTTAAAAAATGTTGTTTTTAGCCACTACAGAATCAAATTATTTTTGAGGTAGGGCGTCGTTTGGCCACCCTTTTTTTTAACAAGGCCCACAAATTCTGTCAATCACTTTGTTGCAATTATAAAGTAGCCAAGTGCGGCAAAGGAAAGATTTCTGCTTTGGATCATTGTCCTGGTACAGCTTGTATTTAAGTTTGCTTGTGTTCTGTGAATCAACGAAGCCAAAATTCTGTGCACTTTTTGTCAATTCATTCTTTAAAATGTCCAAATAAAATTCTTTGGTCATAATGTCATTGAAAATGCGCAGCTCTCCAACACCTTTGGAAGAAATACACCCCCAAACCATCACTGAAAGCTAACCAAATTTCACAGTGGGCACAATGTTCTTTGACTGGAGGTCTGTATTCGGCTTACGCCAAACTTTTCCAGGCCCATCATTATAATGCAGCATGATCTTGGTTTCGTCACAAAAAATCACGTCGTTCCAGTACTCGAGAGGCTTGTCAACACTAAATATTTAAATATTAAAAATTAAATATTAAAAATTAAATATTAAAAATTAAATATTAAAAATTAAATATTAAAAATAAATATTTAAATATTAAATATTTTCCACGGTTTTCAATATTTTCGAGCAATCCTGCCGAGAAAGCTTCTTTGGTCTGCCGGTAGAGGTCTGCAATTCTAGCCTATTTTCTTTATCCGCACGTTTAATAATATTATAAACTGTTTTCAACTTAATATTAAACATCTTGGCCAACTCTTTAGCTGTCTTTCCTTTACCATAAGATATACCAATTGTATCAGATTATCTTCTGTTCGTTTACCGGGCATTGCTAAAACTTCAAATAACACAAGAAACTGAACTGAACCCAAGAAAATTTGTAAACGAATGACTGCAAAGAAGACTTAAGAAAAGCACGCGTCTGGTCGTTTTTGATTTTGATGTCCCGTTTGTTTTTCCTTCGTCTTCTTTTAATCAGTGTTTACATATTGCAAAGAATTAATAGACAGAGTCATACATGCCGCTTTTTTGCTTTTTATACCCGATACTCAAAATGAGTATTGGGGTATATTAGATTTGTGGTAAAAGTGGATGTGTGTAACGTCCAGAAGGAATCGTTTCCGACCCCATAAAGTATATATATTCTTGATCAGCATCAATAGCCGAGTCGATTGAGCCATGTCTGTCTGTCCGTCTGTCCGTCTGTCCGTCCGTCCGTCTGTCCGTCCCCTTCAGCGCCTAATGCTCAAAGACCATAAGAGCTAGAGCAACGATGTTTTGGATCCAGACTTCTGTGATATGTCACTGCTACAAAAATATTTCAAAACTTTGCCCCGCCCACTTCCGCCCCCACAAAGGGCGAAAATCTGTGGCATCCACAATTTTCAAGATACGATAAAACCAAAAACGCAGAATCGTAGAGAATGACCATATCTTTTAGACTGCAGAATCTGAATTGGATCGTATTATTATTATAGCCAGCATCAAGAAAACAATTTCATTTTTTCTCGCCCTGTCTCTCTCTAACACACACGTAGCATAGGCGGCTTTCCTTAGAGTAAAACATTAGCGCCTAGATCTCAGAGACTATAAAAGCTAGAGCAACCAAATTTGGTATCCACACTCCTAATATATCAGACCGAGACGAGTTTGTTTCAAAATTTCGCCACACCCCCTTCCGCCCCCGCAAAGGATGCAAATCTGGGGATGTTCACAAATCTCAGAGACTATTAACGCTAGAGTAACCAAATTTGGAATCCGCACGTCTCTTAGATCTCACTATAAAACGTGTATCTCAAAATTTCGCCCCACCCCCTTCCGCCCACACAAAGGACGAAAATCTGTTGCATCCACAATATTGCAGATTTGAGAAAACTAAAAAAGCAGAATCATAGATAACGACCATATCTATCAGATTGCTGAATCTGGATCAGATCAGATAATTTTTGTAGCCAAAAGGAACAAATCAATTTGCATTGGCTACGCAGCGCCCGACGTCACGCTCAGACTGATTTTCTGTCTCTCTCGCACGCACTCTTTGTCGTGTCGTTTAATATTAGCGGCGTCTGCCGGAGGAGAGCCATACTGACTTAGTATCGGGTATAACTGTAGAGTTGCGGTGTACGCAGCAACTCACAACGTTCCCCCTCGTAAAAAAATTCTTTACCGTTTTTCTTGGAATTTTGCCCCTTTTTTTCGTCATACCTACAGCTTAAACACATTTTGATAACAGTTAATAAAAAAAAAAATTCCCCCAACTAATGCTTTTACGCATATTTTCCATGTTTACGTCAAACTTATGTGCCTTTTTACATTTTGCAAACAATTAATAGACATACTGTACCTCGCTGGTTCGGCTCCTGTGTATGGTGCCGTCAGAACAATGTACACCAGGACCGTATTGAATCAGTCCAGAATAAGATTTTACTTTTTGCTCTGCGGGGCCTTACCTGTAATGCAGGTGTGAGGTGCTACTTGTAAACCTCCCATCCTTAGTTAATCGTAGAAAAATGCGTGGTGTGATTTTTCTGCTCAACTTGATCAAGGGTGACGTAGATAGCCCTGATCTGTTGAGCCGCATAAACTTCACGATTCCTATTAGATACACTAGAAACTATATACCGATGTCTCTTCCACTTTGTAGATCGAATTATTCCTTGCATGAACCGTTTAGTGTCTAATGCTCGGATTATAAATCCCTCTAGATAATATCCACCCCTAATTCCCATACTCTTATTAAATTACTAATGCTCACATGCCTTTCTCGTAACTATTAATTGTAGTGGTATTTTTATTTTGAATGCATATTTAGTTCTCTTAGTAAGTTTAGTGCTAATTTTCCTCGAATGTTAGTCTAATAGCTATATTTCTTGCATGCTCGTGTAACAGCCTTCTGCTGTTCTAATTTTCCTCTTGTATTAGTGTAACAGCTGTCTTTCCTGAATGTTCTCGTTCGGCAGTGCCCGTCGGTCGGTTAGGCGGGAGGATGGCTGCGTTTTGAATGGGATCCAGGTGTAACAGTCTTCTGCTGGTGTCACACGGGCCACTTGATGATGCAGTAATTGCATCGCCACTTTAAAAATTCAGTCATTGAAAATTTAAGTCCAAAATAAAAAAAAAAAATATTTATATAGTTAAATATGCGACACTTCAGTTTAAGTTTTAAAAAAGGTTTTATTCTTTCACTTAAACTTAGCGTACATTGGTTAGTTATTTCCCCGACGATGACTGAGGTCCGATGTCTTGAATGGAATTAACTTGGTTGAATTCTCCAACGGTGTCGCGATTGACGTTTGTCTTGAACAGACTTGACTTCCGCTGCGTATGATCGGTGTTGCATTACTTGAGGGTGGCTGAGAATAGGGCCTCTGATTGGTCAGCTACGATGGCGTGGTTCTTGAGAATCGATTAGTAATTGATCTCTGAAGAGTGGCGTGATTCTAGTGCGGCTGGATTTTAGTGCGGCTGGATTCTAGTGCGGCATCTATTGTTTTATGTTCCACTTCTAGCTTAGGGTGTTTGTTGAAATTGCCTGCAATCGGCTACGCGTGGTCCATTTCGAGCGTGAGATTGTTTTTGGGGTTTCGAAGCTGAGAGTGTCGGATTGTTTATAGTAGTGTCGGATTGTTTATAGTATTGTGGGTGCAGGGTAATAGACATAGACAAGGGTATGCGGAGCATGGACTATAGATATGTCACTCCCCCATTGTTAGATTTAAGCCTGTCCTCAGGCGATTATCCTTGGATATAGTTCGGGTGCGTCTAAAACTGTGCCTGCTGGGGATTCTTCGTCTTCGTCTAAGGATGTTTCCATGTGCGGGTTGGTTTTAGGCTTATTGCTTTTACTTAGACTAAACAATTTGTAGCTTAATCCTATTATTATTATTTAATCGCATATTTTCTATTACGATTTCTTTGGTTTGCAAATAAGACAGTGGTTTAATTTTTGTTACGTTATTGTTGATGTATATGCTCTATGCAAATTCTGGTATTGAGTTGGATATTAAGAATTCGTTTAAT